TGTGTGAGAATTTTAGCTCACTAACGACTAACGCTCAGCCAGTGCGGGCTGCTGCACGTACTCCTACGTTATTTGTTGCGGGGAGTGTTAGAATAGTGTGGACTTTCTCGGCTTGTAATGCCCGGTAATACCTTGTAATACCCTGTAATACCCTGTAATACCCTGTAATACCTTGTAATACCCTGTAATACCTAGTAATACCTAGTAATACCCTGTAATACCTGGTAATACTCTGTAATACCCAGTAATACCTTGTAATAAGCGTAATACGCGTAATACGGAGTAGTCTGTACACGAAAATGCCGAGATAAAACCCCCTCGAACATATCTTTGACAACAACACAAACGTCCTCCGCAACCACTCGGGTGAATGGCAGCCTCACAGAACCTTCCGAGCGAACACCTGGCCACTACCCCGGAGCTAAGAAATTATGGCTCGATGTGACGCGACGAGCAGTCTTCTGTACGAAACGCTCCCAACCGGCTCCCGGAGTTGGCACGGAATCGGCAATAGGTTCATTATAATCTCAATAGAGTGCGCTACAACCCGAAAAAACGCGCGAGACTCTAACGTTAACTTCTTCGAGGGAAATCGATCGCAAAGTGTCGACTACTGGTGTACTGTCGACTACTGGGCCCCTTACCCTATATTCTAAAATGAACCTTAATGTGAATGTAAGATTTTCTTAAACTCGGTATTTGTTGCCATGGTTACTTACAAATAAATTAGAGTGGGCATTCCCTTCTGTCTTTTGTGATTCTCGTGTGTTGTTGCATTATAATTATTTTCTTGAAAATGGCTGAGTCTCTTAAGGTATTTGTTATAAAATATGACATGTAATTGCTAATGTTTAGTGCTGCTACTTACTTTTTTATAATATTTTAGAGACGAAGAATTGATGAATCAAAGGAAATTGAGAATGATCTTGTCTCGAAAAGGGGAAAAGCTGATAACGAAGTAATATTTGTGAATCTTTTTAAAATTTTGTTTTTAAATTTATTGAGGTATTTTTATTGGCTGAGCTTGCGAAGCCTTTGCTGTGATGTGGGGTGCAGAGAACTCTTTGGCCGTGTGTCTGTCTGTCTGTCTGTCTGTCTGTCGGTCTGTCTGTACTGGCCCACGTTAGACCGTCCCAAAAAAATGCTGTTTTCAAAAAGTTCTCGGGACACATTGCCGCAGTAAACGGACTGACTTGTAGATACTGAAACGATTTTTTTCCGATTTTTCGAGAGCAATTTAGAGGTCGCGTATGAATTTTTTACGTTTTTTAACACAAAACCTGCGATTTTGCCGGAATTAGCGAGTTGCAGCGTTCCCTGGACACTCCCTTATCATTCTGATGGCGCACACTCTTCCCCTCTATCCCTCTCTTGCCCCCATCACCACGGAGTAAGAATGTATGGAGGACCGGCTCTGGCTTCCACGCGCAGCGAAACGGTTCCCCGGCGGCGTCCCGAGCGGCAGTGGTTAGCGCCGCCTCCGTGTGCAGCGCTGCAGTCGCATTGGCGAGAGCCTCGGGCGGCGCTGCGCTGGGCGCCTACGGGCGGAGCGCGCCGCGAGCGCTTTAACGCGGCGGCGCTCCTGGGCCGTTCATTGCACAAGTGGGGAGACCACGGGTACTTACAGTAAAAAGTTCAAGCTTTCCAACAGTATCAATGTTTTTTCGATACGACCAATACTTTCCGAACAGCGGCCTGAGAAAGAGAGACGTGCGGCGCGCAGCGGCTCCCGCTGCAGCGCGCGCCCCGCTAATAGTCCAGTGGCCTCGCACAAAAATACTGCACGAAATGACTCATCTACCAAACTTTGCACAGTTGTTCTGGGGTCTATCCTGAACGATTTTGGGGCCAGAGGCATTTGATCCGACCGTGCAGACACCTGCTACGGCCAATTTTAGTCCAATATTTTAGAAATTTGCTTAAGTTCTCAAAGTTTGACCGATTGGCAACCAATTGTCCAATTTTGATGATCTAAGAGTCGTTTCCCATTAAGCGAGATGTGCAGAACACGATGGTGTTTTCGGATTTTCGATATCTCAAATAGTGTGGGAGATATTCGACTTTGACTGACAAACATTACTTTTTGGAAAAGGTCCAACTTTCACTTTTTGCATTTTAATACCATTTCTGATCAAAATTCCGACAAAACACCTTCTCTGATCGCTGTAGCTCTGTTTCTTAGGAACAAAATGCACTAAACCGGAAGTCTGTAGCTCTTATACTTTTCTCGATACGGAAGTTTGAAGCGAGCGCCGCGCGCCGTGGTCGGCCTCGCCTGCAGGAGCAGCCCCTAAGGGACAGATAGGCAACCCGCCGCACGCCGCGGGGGGAAAACTCTGCAAGCGGGCTGTTTTAAGCCGTTTCTTTCTTCAATTTCGCTTATAGTTGGTACTACCAGTGGTCAGAAAGGACGGTTTGGGGTTTGTTGTTCGCCGCAGTCGGAGGCAGATTCACGGAGTACCATTTTCTTTTTTGGAAGAGGCGTTCCGCCGATCTTCAGCTGATATGCTGGTGCAAAGGTGGATGCAAAACTGCTCCAGCTTCTTTATACAGCCTGCTGAAATAGACTGCACAGGATGTGAAATATATAGCAATGCCGGCTTCAGACAACCGAAAGACAACAACTAAAAAAATTAGTATTAGGGACACAAGGGCAGGGACTGGGAAGCCAAAACTGATTATTTATACCTCTTTACTACTTGGCGTTTCTTTTCTCGTTTGAGCTCTCTGTGTATTTAAACCCAAAAGCCCTGTGAAATTTGGCTTTGTGGGCAGCATGTGTGATTGTAATGCCTGATCCATCATCTACACATTTGGACATTTATATTTTCAAATTCAAGCAGATTTCGTTCAACGGTTTTGTAACCAGCATCGCGCGTTAATTCATGTGATTTGGTCCAGGACCACCCTGAAACGCCTGTTCTTGTCACAAGGAAATGTAATTGATTCAAGTAAATGTACTTGCTGTCAGCAAGTACATTATCTTGAGGCGAGTAAATTTGCATCACGACAAACGCAGCATTCTTGTAACAAGAATGGGCTTTTGGGGGTGACACTGGAGTGGCCCCGGACTATGACCATAATTGACAAAATAGGCATGCGATATCCAGTCAAAAACATCTCCAGCACCGAAAAAAATGACTTTGTTGTGGGGATCAATTATGTTCGGTAGGCAACCAACCCCTGCTTGTAAGTATCGGATTCTCGATTCCAGTTATAGAATTAAGCCTACCAAACAGAACTTACCCCCACAACAAAGCAGTGCCTCCAAAAGGGCAGGCTGTTGCGGGCTCAACGCATCATGCTCGCAGGTGAAAGAGCCCGCAAGAGCCCGCAAGGTAGATTGACAAGCCCGCACGAGCCCGCACAGTTTTTCAAGTCTAAAATTTTCATATTATTTCTAATTAAATTGATTTTTTGCCTCGACATATCTAAAGAATGGCATCCAATAGTAAGATCTGTCAA